GAAGCTACTAGGAGCAAAGGGCATCGCTACTAGGAGCAAGGACGCTACTAGGGGCTCCTGGCATCGCTACTAGGAGCAAAGGGCATCGCTACTAGGAGCAAGGACGCCACTAGGGAGCAAAGGGCATCGCTACTAGGAGCAAGAACGCGGGTGTAGGGAACAGGTGCAAAGAATAGTCTTCCAAGTAGCAACCCGCAGGTGGTCCTTGCTTGTGCTTCAACTGGTATCTCTGGGATTTGTCTTCACTCCGCGTGCGAAGAAAGGCAACCACGGGAGCATCAGGTTGCAAGGAAGGTTCTTGCTGATCTTTCTGCGGAGTTCACCCTAGTCTCGGAGAACTCTTGCCAAGGCTATGGAGAAGAGGTGTTCAATGTTTTGTTTTCGTATTGGTAATGTGTTGTGGATGAGTGAAGTCCATTGAACTGATCGCAAATTGAATTGTGAATGGGTGTGGATACAGGTGGAAACAAACAACGAAATCTGTGGAGGAGCTTTGGCAAATCGATGGACCCCTGGACCACAGCTCCAACCTCCGACCACCTCTGTTCCACCACCCAACTATTTTCCTGCGAAGGTGCAAACATCCAAATGCAAAGCGGTGAAGGAGGAGTGGTCAGCCTTCCAGCGCTGGGTCAGCTTGGCGCGCCTGGTGATCAAAAACCGAACACCACAGCACGGGTGGCGCCGGGTCACGCGCTTGCACGGGCACAAAAGGTGCCTTACAGAAATGTGAAGGCCTTTAGAGCAGTTTTTCCATGTGAGGCCGGACATGGCCAGACCCAAAGCTCAAGTTGGCAAAGTACTCAAAAGAGGGCCGTTTTGTGATACTCTCACCACTCGTCGCCACTCGTGACCCAAACTCGGACCACATGTGCTTTGAGTTACATTCAAGAAATAGCTGTGAACATTCCCAGAGTCTGAAGCACGAGTATCGGGATCGGCTTTTCGGCTTTGAATAGCTAAACTTTAAACAACCTTTTCGAGTTAGTCTCGCTGAAGTTTTGACTTGCTTTAGCTTAAAGTGCTGCCGGTTCATCACAAATCTCCCAGGTCTCCTCTCCAGGACCTTCATTGCCGCATCCTTGTCGTTCTCTTGCAAAGGAAGAAGAGGCCAACCTTTCCTTTGGAAGAACGGGTGACGGTCGTTGACCGGGTAGGTCCGAGCAAGAATCCTGCAAATGTCTCTTGTTGCAAGAAGCAACCCTCCAAGTTTCAGGCAAGACCTCCTCCTTCACCTTGCGGCGAAGCCCGGCGACACTGGACATCGTCTCTGCCACTGTCATGGTTGACCTGGCCCGCCACTCACTTCCGGAAGATACATCCATTCCCGCTGGCGACTAACTTCAGGGCTCAAAAAAAAGGGTGCTCCGAAACGTGTGGTGGGCTGATTGGATCTTGGATTGGTGTGTTTGCAACAAAAAACACACATGCAAACAACATCCCCCAGCCAAGAGAAAGTTTGAAAGGACCAGATCAGGAACCATGGCATGAAGCTCAACATGGTGATGTTGAAGCCACAACATCACCCGCCAACGTTGACACGACCCTGCACCTGCTAGAGTCGTGTCAACGAGTTCGACCGACGATTCGGGTGACGCTGAGCCGTGTTGACACCTCGAGGGGGAGAAACCGAAATTGGCCTCGAGGCCTGGTGAGACCTCGGGTCACATATAGGTGAGATGAAGCGGGCCTCGATGGCAGAGTCTTGGGCAGGAACGGGATTTCAGTCGTCCTTGAGCCTCTTGAGCTGCGTGGAACTGGCCAGTGCCACACATCTGTGGACGAAGCTCAGCGGAGATCTCAGCAAGGGTCAAACAGATGATGGCCACCAGGCATCTCTCTCCAAAGCATTGAGGATGAGGCAGAATGAAACATAATGGAACTATTGAATAGAGTGATTCAATAACAGAAGCTGAGGTGAGGTGCATGTCAGTACAGCATTGACAGGTCGCGCAGAACCCAGCCCTGGTAGATCCCCAGCCTTTTGAGACTCGCGTCCTAAAGACAGAAAGAAATTTTCGTGCAAAAATTCAAATTGGGTCTGACCAAAGTCTTTGCAGACCCATTTTCAAAAACCGTGAAGTGGCATTCGCTGCTTCCATCTCCAGCACATGTTGATCCTGAACACAATGTCAAGCCGAGGTATAACCGTGTAGACTCATGTAAACCCTTGATGACTCCAAAATTCCTCAGGAAGCTGAAGGACGGTCCTCTTCTGCAGCCGTCAAATGACGGCAATTCCCGGCCGGAGCGCGAGAGGTCTGCGCTGCGCTGCGGCCGGGAAGCGAAAGCCGGCGCCGCCGTTCACGAAGTGGCCACCAGCACCAAGCGGGGCTCCAGGCTCAAAAGGAGACCCAAATGAATCACCAGTGTTTGAACCTGTTTGAGTAAGTTGTAAATATCGAAATATCTAAAAAAACAGTGTGAACCGGTGAACCTGCACGAAGCCCCAAGCCCCGTTTCGCGCGAGGTGTCCCGCGAATTAGTTGGATCGTGCTCATGAAAGGTCCGGAGAGTGCTGGAACTTTGATCTGGGACTCACATCAGTGAGACGAAAACACGATATGATTTTCAAGCTGCCGACCCATATCGATCCATGTTTCTTGCACACCCAGAGTCCCGGGCTTAGTTTTTTATCTATTGGTGTTGCATCTTATGTTTCCCGGAGCATAGCAAAGGGTTCTCGTTTAACTCTGAGGGTCTGGGGGGAGAGTCTTGTTCGCGACTCGTTGTCGTTTCGACCGCAGCCGTCCGCAACCGTTTCCAGTGGGGCGCTATGGCCACATTGGGGAAGCTTTTGGAGAGGGCTTTGGATGGAAGCAAGATGTGCAGCGTTTTGTGAGATGGCAGCTTTCTGTGCAGTCACATTGGGATTGGCGTTTGGAGGGTGGTGTCTCGGGGGTGTTTTGGCTGTGACATTGGGATTTACGTTTCAGGCTGTTGCTTCGAAGCTGTGTTTTCATGACAAGTCACAGCTCAAAGAGTCTGCTCAGAATGTGTTGAAGTCAAGTGGTGTGTTGTAAGTTTTGTTGAAGTTATGATATGATTTTGTCACTTTTCGCGGCTCCCACAAGAAGTTTCCACAAGAGTGTCCGACAAGAGTGTCCTACAAGAGTGTCCTACAAGGGTGTCCCACAAGAGCACAAGAGCGTCCAACAAGAGTGTCCGACAAGAGTGCCCCACAAGAGTGAGGTACAAGACTGTCGCACAAGAGTGTCTGACAAGACGGGCGTCCTACAAGAGTGTTTCGCAACAGTGTCCCACAAGAGTGTTCCGCAAGAGTGAGTGCCATACAAGAGTGCCCCGCAAGAGTGACATACAAGAGTTGAGCGCAAGAGTGCCCCGCAAGAGTGTCCCCAAGAATGTCCACCTACAAGAGTGCCCCACAAGAGTGAGTGCCATACAAGAGTCTGACAAGGTTTTCCGACAAGAACGCGTCCTACAAGAGTGTCTGGCAAGAGTGTGGTACAAGAGTGTCCCAAGAGTGTTTTGCAAGTGTGTCCTACAAGAGTCACAGGAGTGTCCCACGAGTGTGTCCGCCAAGAGTGTCGGACAAGAGTGTCCCACAAAACTGTTCCACAAGAGTGTCCCGCAAGAGTGGCCGACGAGAGTGTCCCACCAACAAGAGTGGCTGACAAGAGTGTCCTACAAGAGTGTAGTGTCCTGCAAGAGTGTCCCACAACAGTGCGCCGCAAGAGTGCCGACAAGAGTGTCTTACGAGAGTGCCCCGCAAGAGTGCCCTACAAGAGTGTCCCACAAGGGCGAGTAGTGTCCCACAAGAGTGTCCCGCAAGAGTGTCATACAAGAGCGTCCCACAAGAGCGCACCACAAAAGTGTCCCCTCCCTCAGAAGTGCATCTTGTAGCAAGCAGCTCCTGGCAGCTAGGTAGTACGGGAGGCGGCTTCTTGTCCCTCGCGCCTCAGACCTGGCAATTTTCGCTGCGGCCACAGAAAGCAGCTAACTTTAGTGCAGGTTGTGGAACTGTTAACGTATGTGGCCAAACTACATCCGAGCGCGTGAGTGTCGCGTGTGAGTGTCCCACAAACCCCCACAAGAGAGTTCTACAATAGTGTCTCCTACAAGAGTGTCAACTGTTTGGGTGTTTGTTTCCGAGTACGTGTTTGCATTCGGGTTCGTGGGTTCCATCTTGTTTTTGTACAGGGTGCATTGATTGGTGTGTGTGCGCAGTTCTTGAAATCCGCACATGGTCCGACAGAGTTGGAGGCCATCGCTATTAGTAAAGCTTGAAGTGAAGGAACACATCTCCAGACCCTCGATCCACGGACTTGGGAATCGTCCGCTAAAACGGTGAGCGAGTCGCCGGCGCAAACGCGACCCCGAGACACAACATCGTCTCATGACTCATTGCACCAAAAAACGCTAACAGCTTGCAGCAAGGAGAGGTATATTATACTTCTTTGCTCGTGGGGACCATTCTCCAATGGAGACTTCTTCTCAAATTGTTATATAATCAAGAACCGCACCACAACGGCGTGGCGGGACTGCGGCGCCTTTTCTTCTACGCTAAAAAGAGCGCTCTGCAGTCATGCTACGCACGCCATGCCATGCTCAAGGGGTCATGGAAAGCTGGACACCTCACGCCATGCCTGCGCTGCCTTGCTGATCAACACCCGTCCTCAGCTGACCATGATCCTGTCCCTGGGCTTCGACCTAACGCCGGTGCCTACCGGCCCTGATGGCCTCTTTGCGTGCCTTTGCAAAAGCGGATGCTTCCAAAGTTGCCAAGACCTCGCGCACGAAGCGCTGCAAGATGGGCGGCTTCTCTGGCAAATTATGCCCAAGCAGCATACGCTAGAGCACTTGCAGCTTAGCGGTTGTCAGATTCAAAACTTTGGTCGGCTTGACTTCTCAAAGAAGCCACGCTTAGGTTGTTAGACTGGGCCCCAGTGTATGGCAATCCCAGACACTATTCGGTGTATCTCGACGAGGATGTTGTAGGCCGCATGAAGAGCCTCTGCGTGATTTTAGTGTACACCGTTCGTTTCTTTAGTGACCTTGCCACCAAACCTTTTAAACAATCCTGTAGTGTATCACGCACTGCTGACAAGGAAAATCATTTCACATTGCCATCCACGAACTCAGAGTATTTCTGCCCTCAACCATTGGGCTTTGATGGTGTCTCTGCGCTGGGTGGGAACGGATGTCCTACTCGCGTGAAAGAAAAAAAGGCGCTGCTAAATCCCTGCACTGGACACAAACGAAAAGTTTCAGAAAAAAACGGTTTCTCTGAAACGCTTCAATGAAAAGAATGCGTCTTTTCCCCCTGTGTGGTTTTCCTTTTGCACGTTGAGTGTGTATAAGGTATAGAGCACTGTATTTTTCTTAAGACTGGCCCAAGAACACACAACACGGCTGTTGCCAAAGGCTTTTCCAGAGCTCAAGTAATGGCGGAGCTTCTTTGTCCTCATGACCCACTTGGCAGTTAGCCTATATGGCGAACAGCCGCAAGGGCTATCTATAGAGAGAGAGAGAGACAGAGACAGAGACAGGGCGCGGAAGCCACGGCGGGCCACACCGCGGAAGCCGCGGCAGGCCAACTACTCTACTGCAGAAGCCGCGGCAGGCCAACTACCACGGAAGCCGCGGCGGGCCACAAACTAACGCGGAAGCCGCGGCAGGCCATAAACTAGCGCGGAAGCCGCGGCGGGCCACAAAGAGAGAGAGAGAGAGAGAGAGAAAAAGAGAGAGAGAGAGGGGCTGAGACTGCTGAGACAGAGGGAGACTGAGACTGTAGTGAGAGAGAGAGAGAGATGGAGATCATGATTAAGAAAGACGGAGACAATACCGCGGAAGCCGCGGTGGGGTGGGCCACAGCGCGGAAGCCGCGGCAGGCCAACTACTACTGCAGAAGGCGCGGCAGGCCAACTGCTGCGGAAGCCGCGGCAGGCCACAAACTAGCGCGGAAGCCGCGGCAGGCCACAAACGAGCACGTCTCTGTCTCTGTCTCTCTCCTTGTTCTCTCTCTCCTCTCGCTCCCTCTCGCTCTCTCTGTCTCTCTCTCAGTCTCTCTCTCTCTCTCTCATCTCTGTCTCTCTCTCAGTCTCTCTCTCTCTCATAATCTCTGTTCTTGGGAACTGGCCCCTTGTTCCCGAGCAAGTGGCCCTTTGTTTTTTCATTTTTTTGATGTATGTAAGGAGATGTGTCCACACTGTAATGGTTTTTGTATACGGGTGTTGGTCTAAATTCCTTCATCCACGATCCATCATTCTTAGCCAACAAACATTACTTTAGCCAAACTTTCACCGTTTCACATGTTATTTGT